AGGCTATCAGGAGGTTAGGATGCTGCTGTGGGGTCCACAGTCTGGTCTTTGTCAGCCAGCGTTCATTCCCACAAGCGTCTGAGCTACTCTATCTCTCCGTGGTACAGGGACTGGAATTCTGGAAACGACATCTCCCAAACTCCTTTGCCTTCAAGGTTCTGGGTGCGCTTTCTTTCTGCCAGTGTATGCATGTGAGATTTTGTAGGTGGGAGGGAAAAGGGGTATTGTTTGTTTCTCTGGCAGCACCTACCAAAATGGGTAGGTCACAGTAGACTTCAAGTTCTGCCCTAGGCTCTAGGTGATCTGTGAGCCCCCACCTCGGTCCTCGGCGCAGCTCTGATCAGCAGTGGGGGTTCCCTGCATTTTTCTGACCTGGGTGACAGCCCCAACCTCCTAGTAACTGCTTAGAGCTGCTGAAACTTGGTGGCAACTTCCCCAAACTCCTCCAGTCCTTCTAAACGTGCCCTGAGCATCTCAATGCCCTGTTTGCTTGGAAGGCATGCAGTGGGTTCTCTTTTGCTGACTGACCCCTGAGGGTCACAGCACCTACCTAGCTGGTATTGTGAAAGAAATGAACATGCTTAATGGGTCCCTTTTAAGTTAAGAGTAATTTTTTAAAGCTACAAATGAAACATTAACTGCCCTTTTTAAAAGAAACTCGTGCTATGAAGAGAGAAATTTGAAAATCGGTCTTTAGAAATATTTATCACTATGTGATTCTGTTGCCCAAAATAATGTGTTAAACCAACATTTTCAAAATACTGAAACGTACTGAATTACATTGTTTTCAATAAAATAAACAACAACCTTTCTTTACTGAGAGAAATTAGGACTTTTTTTTTTACCGTTAGTGAATAAAATAAAGATATTTTCCAAATATTGTATGTTTTGTTTTTAAAAACAGCCTTTTAATTCTATTTTGTGCATATTTTTAACGTATGTACTACATTGATTCAGTAGTACATGAATATAGTTTAAAAATAAATGCAGGGACGCCTGGGTGCTCAGTCGTTGGGCGTCTGCCTTCGGCTCGGGTCATGATCCCAGGGTCCTGGGATCGAGTCCCACGTCGGGCTCCTTGCTTGGTGGGGAGCCTGCTTCTCCCTCTCCCTCTGCTGCTCCCCCTGCTGTGTGCTCTCTCTCTCTGACAAATAAAGTCTTAAAAAAAAATGCAAACACTTATGGGGGAGGCATAAGATTTTTACCGCTATGGACACACAATCAAAAAAGTTTAGAGGGGCACCTGGCTGGCTCAGTCAGTGAGCTCAAGCCCCATGTTGGGTGTAGAGTTTAAATAAGTAAATAATAAAATTACCCTCATTAAAAAATGAGAAATCACCGCTTTCGGACACACATCTATAGTATCACAACTGATGGAAACCAGTGCCCATGCATGTATATTCTCCCAGATACATCCTCTTTCATTAGTCCTGGCTCTTTCCCACCAAAAACTCCCCCAGATTTCCAGGGGACTGGCCAGGTAGCCAAGTCACTGCTGTAGTTGCAGAGTTAAGATTGAACCCTCTGGGTCTGTTCCTGCAGTTTCACTGGGCATAGAAAACTTGTCCCAGAACTCCTCCTCGTTCCTCACAGAGCCTGAAGGACAGAAAGGTGGCCTCATGATGGTTGGAGAATGGAGGTTGGGTCTCTCTACTTAAAAGTACGGGCACTGTCCCACCCGACACGTGCACACACACACACAAGCTCAAGATGCTGGATCCCTCACATCAGTTGGATCTCTGCTCAAAATGTCACCAAATCATTAAGGACATCGCTGAACATCTATTAAACAGCAGGTTGCAATCCGCTGCCCCCAGCTTTACTTTTCTCCATAGCACTCACCACTGGTTGATAAATTTGATGTTTGATTTGATTACTGTCTGTCTTTCTAGAAACTACGTATTCTGCTTGCTTTTGCTTCCCTAGCATCTAGAAGAGTGCTTGACTCATGGCAGATGCTCAATAAAAATTCACTGAGTGATCAAATAGTTGCTTTCCTACCCACCCCTGACCAAAAACATAGGAACACGGCCCAGCCTGTAAAGTGCTCTGGGACATCATCGTTCACACACTTGCAATCCTAGGTTAATATAAGGCCAACAGAAGGGGTTTGTTTGAGAAACTGCTTTTAACTTGATTGCTAACATTTTTTTTTTTTAAAGATTTTATTTATTTGACAGAGAGAGACACAGTGAGAGAGGGAACACAAGCAGGGCGAGTGGGAGAGGGAGAAGCAGGCTTCCCGCGGAGCAGGGAGCCCGATGCGATGCGGGGCTCGATTCCAGGACCCTGGGACCATGACCTGAGCCGAAGGCAGGCGCTTAACAACTGAGCTACCCAGGCGCCCCTTGATTGCTAACATTTAAAAGTTAGGGCATTTCTTAAAAATGCTGCATTTACAATTACTGAAAAGTCAGCGGCTCGGGCAACACTGGCAACACATTCTTACTTTGCAACATTGAGATTGAGCTGAAAAGCAGCTAGCTCCTTTGCAGCAGGTAGGAACCCACCTGGCCTGTTTACTCTTATATTACCTGCCTGGTCTCTGCTGTAGGGTTTTGAGTTTGTAGCCTTGCAACTAGGAACCTAAAGATTTCCTAAAGCTGCAAAATTGAGAAATTTGGCTAAATTGTCACCCACGAACTTCTTCAGACTGATTTGCTGTTTTGTTGTTGCAGAGTAATTCCAGAATTTAGTGGAATTATTCCCAAACAATAGCCATCTTATCATCTTTAATGATTCTTTGAGTGAACTGGGTTTAGCTGAGCAGTTCTCTGCTCCGTCTGACGTTGGCAGAGACTGTGGTCTTCTGGAAGTGCCGCTGGATTAGGACATTCAAGATGGTTTACTCACAAGGTTGGCAATTGGTGCTGTCGGCGGAGAGCTCACTTGGGGGCTATCTCAGTACTCCTCTCTAGGCCTCGGGGATTTCACAGCATGGTAGCTGGACAGGACGCAGGAAGTGAAAGTTGCCAGTTTTCAGGCCTGGTCTTCTACAGATGGCCTAGAATGTCACTTCTGCTATATTCTATTGGTCAAAGCTAGTCACAAGGCCAGCTCAGATTCAAGAGGGGGAGGGATGGGTGGGATGGGAAATGAGCCTCAGCTCTTGATGTAAGTAGCAACGCCCGTATAAAAAGAGAAGACTGTTGGAAGGCCATCTTTGGAGGCTAGTGGCTACATATAGCTAACATTTCATGATTATTTACTCTTTCTTAGTGTGAGAATGGCTTAGAGCAGAAGAAGAGAGTCTCTTGGCCATTCGGTAAAAAGGAATTCAGAATTACTTATTACTCCATACCACAACATACCAAGTTATCGAAGACCTATTTCCAATAAATTCTCCCACTTCCTCAGAGCTGGCTTAAATTTGCTACATCTTAGAAAGCTGGTTAAACAAATTTGTATTGTTAAACAACAAAAATTCAGCTAAATTTGAAAGATCTAATGGGCTTTATTAATCAAGGCATGAATCAGGTAGCATCCCATCCGGCAAGTATAGGGGAGCTCCAAAGGGCTACCGAAAAGGAAAGGCTTTTTAAAGGTAGAAATCGTTGAAAAAAGGAAATTATTAGCTAAGAATCCATTGTTTTAAGCAATGCCGCCTTCCTGAGGGGACCGGAAGGAAAAACGGAAGGAGTCTATCAATTTCCTAGTGCTGACCAGGAAATTTCCCTAGTGACTGGTTATAGGTTCCACTTCTAGGGGGTTCTAAGTGCAGTCAGGTTAGGTGTTAATTCTTGGTTTACTGACTTGGGGTCTTAACCTAAATGAGGCCATTTTCAGCCTGTGGTTTTCTCGTTAACAATATTAAGAAGAGAATAACTTATAACATTCTCCCCAACCACTACTGTAGATGTGTCTTTTAAAATCAGATACTTGTGAATTAGAGGTTGATCAGTATTTTATGAATGTCACAGGGAGAGATTAATTCATTCACATTAAGTCATTCTAGTCTGGTTTCCTCTAATGTCGATTCTGGAAGTGTCAGGATTCCAGCCAGACTATGAACCATTACCCTGAAGTTGGCCACAGCTAGAGCTGGGGGACCCTGACAGGGACCCAGGAGGAAGGAGCTGCTAAAAGTGGGAATTCAGGGGCGCCTGGCTGGCTCAGTCGGTTGAGTATCTGCCTTAGGCTCGGGTCACGACCTCAGGGTCCTGGGATTGAGTCCCCCATGGGGCTCCCCGCTGAGCGGGGAGCCTGCTTCTCCCTCTTCCTCTGCCCCTTCCCTCCACGATCTCTCTCAAATGAATGAATAAAATCTTTGAAAAGGAAAAAAAAGTGGGACTTCAGGAGTCTGAGCAGTTGCATCCTGGCTCATGGGGAAGATGGTGGAGTGGAGACACGGGTAACCTACTTGTAAAAGGTAAGATTAACATGTAATCTAGAGAACCTCGAGGAGCTCAGAGGTGAAAATGAATCATTTTAACTTTACCATATTGCCCACAAAGGCCTAGAGCAGTGTCTGACCTAGACTTCCCGAGGAAACTGGAAGCCCGAAGGGTAAATAGGAATATTAACACAAGGTTAAACCTCAGGCGGAGGGAATTAACAGAGTGGAGAAGACAGTGAGAGAAGCTGGGACACCTGGAGCAGAGGGTGTGCGGAAACGAGGAGATAAAGGCAAGGGTCCAGTAGTCTCAGGGGCAAGGGGGAGCCACTGCGAGATTTTAAACGAGGAGCTGAGGTCGCTGATACTCAGAAGGGACTTATCCAAGTTGCACAATTAGGAAGAGAACCAGAAAAAGAGCTTCTAATTATTTCTAATTAACTAATTTCTAGTGAATTTATAAATTCCCGCTGTCCCACGTTTATCTCCGACCCGGCAATTCAGAACATAACGTACACGCCCCTAACCCGCCAATGGCTCTGCGGAAATGGTCTCAGCGCTCCAACCGGAAACAGAAAATGACCGATGAGGACGCCACCTAACGGCGGGCAGGAGGCAAGCTAAATCCGGAAAGCCGCTACACCGGAAGGGACCGGCTGTTTCCGGTAAAAATCCGACACCTCAGAAGCTCAGAGGGCGAGTCTCCGAGATTCGGCCAGTGTACCCAACGCCCTCCGCTCGGCGACATCGCATGCCCACTTTTGCGCAGGCGCGGGGGCTACCCGGCAGGCAAACGCGTACGCAAAACCGTGCGCGCGCCCGTTCTCCGCCCGGCGCATCGGTGCTGTTTCGAGGGTAAAGGCTTTGGAGCAGGAACGCGGACTCTTGTTCTCTGAACTACAACTCCCAGCATGCCTCACCCCTCACATTGGTACTAGATGTGGTTTCTCAGGATAGGTTAAAAGGGGATCTAAATGACGATGACGTACCAAAGAGGAAAAAAAATTGAATACGTTGCTGGAGCGCCTCGTTCGCAGAAGCCCCAGTGGCCTAATGGATAAGGCATTGGCCTCCTAAGCCAGGGATTGTGGGTTCGAGTCCCATCTGGGGTGATTAGGTTTTTGCATTGAAAAGGACTTTGCCGTTCTTAAAGAACTACACCGAAATATGCTAACAATTTTACTTTTTCTTAAAAAGTGGGAAGGATATGTGTGGTTTTCCTAGGTGATGGGCTACAGTTTGAGAGAATAAGAATACACCATTTCCTTCTTCCGAGTCGTACACTGCCGTCAGATTTCTGGGAAGTCAGTACTTTGAATTCTGCTATCCCCTCTAGATACCAAAACATATCTTTAGTGTTCTGTTTCAGATCAACACCTACTCCCACCAGGCGCACTTATTCTCGAGACTCAGCGGCCAGCTAATGACGCAGTCAGCAAAGAACCTCTCCCTTAGCCCAGCCTTTCTCAGACTTTCTTAAGGACCTGGTGAGTCAGTTACACTCGGCTTTCGTTTGCTTCTCTCTTAACTCCTTAGGGTGCCTCTCGGTGTTTGATTAGTAAGGCTCCGCAGAGACGGGAAGTGAGATATTCCACTGTTCTGCGTTCGATGGGGGGACGTAGCAGTCTGGGTCCGGTCGTACCATTTAGCGGCTGGCTCGGGGGGAGGGGAGGGAGTTGGAGGGCTGTAGGGCGCCATTGGGCACCACGCTCCGAGGACGGGAAAATGGCGGCCCTAGGGTCCCCGGCGCGCACTTTACGAGGCCTTCTACGGGAATTGCGCTACATGAACGAGGCCATGGGCCGATCCTATCGTGACACCGCGGCCTATCGGTACCTCGTGAAGGCTTTCCGTGCACATCGGGTACGGAAGCCCGAGTCCGGTGCTGCAGCGTGCCTTCCACGGGGAGAGGCAGGGGGTGGGACCTGGGCAGGGGTAGGGAGCGTTGGGCCTCAGCGCCTGCATTTCTGTAACCGACCCTCCCCCCAGCCCTGGTTCTGGCCAAACAAATCCAGGCCCTAGGCCCTGGTCTGTGGCTCGAGCCCAGGAACTAAGGAGCAGGACAGCAAAGTTGCCCTGGGATGGAGTCGTCCCTTGGATTTCATTGGCTGGTCTTTTGCAGGTGCGGAGGAGAAAGATCAGAGTGCAATCGAGGAGATGGGGGAAAAGAAGAGATATACTTGATGGAGAGTGTAGAGTTGCTATCTACAGCATCTATCCACCATTCTCTTCGCCCTTCCTCTAGTAGTTACTCTGAAAACCAATATTTGAGGCAGAAAAGAGAACTGTAATGAGGAATATTAAGAACTTGGCAGGACTGTGTTTTACTTTTACTTGTGTTGTATCTCATACCCCACTTAAGGAAACGGTGCCTTGTAGAGCTGAACTAGAAACCTGTCACATTAACGTGATATCTGACCAGATACATTTTTTCCTTATGTAGCAGATAAATTTGAACATATGGGAGGCCATCCTTGGGAAATTCCTTTACGAAATCCACACTGCATATTCCCCTTAGGCAAGAGCAGGTGTAAGCGGTTTTATTTTTCAAGTGGGGCAACTGAGGCTCAGGGACACTGACCTGTGCAAGGACTTGTATAGGAACAACTGGAATCTCAGTTCCCAGATAGGGGTCTTCCATTTAATTGTTGCCTTTGGAGTTACGGGTCGGGCTTCGAAGGAATTCGAAAGCAATCTCTGAAATACACGTTGGAGAGTCACTTTGGGCTGTAGGGTAGGAAGCTCACCGTCTTTTGAGCAATGTAGGAAAAAGGAGAACCAGCATCTTGTTGAATCTTTGAGCCATGGAAGTTAGAGTACAATATTTTAGAACTAAAATTCAAAAATTTTAAATTTATGTATTTTGTTGAGTAAACTCTATGCCCAACATGGGGCTGAAATTCGAAAAATTTTTTTTCTTAAGATTTATTTATTAGAGAATGGGCAAGGGGCAGAGGAAGAGGGAGAGGGCAAGAATCTCATTGGACTCCATGCTAAATGTGGAGCCGCCACCAGGCTTGATCCTAGGACCCCGAGATCATGACCTGAGGTGAAAAACCAAGAGTCTAATGCCTAACGGACTGAGCCACCCAGTCACCTCCAAAATTCAAAAAATTTTAAAAGGCCAAAATGTTAGGGACTTTTAGGAACTTGGCTAAAATATGGATAAGATGCACCTGAGTCCTGTCTTTTAAGAAGCTTGCAGTCCAACTGAGGAGCCATACAGCAAAGCACTTAGAATAAGTGCTAAGAGAATAAACAATAGGTGATCCTCGTATAAAGTAGTGGGATTTCAGGAGGAAAGTCAAAGGTTGGGCGTGGGGCGGAGAGAGAGGGAGAGCAGGCAGCCCAATGCAGGACTTGATCCCAGGATCCTGGGATTATGACCTGAGCTGAAGCAGATGCTTAACTGACTGAGCCACCCAGGCACCTTCATTCTAAGATTTTTAAGGTGACAGGATTATAGTTGTACCTTATGGAGGCAACATTATTGCCCTTGAGAGAGGCTTGGTAATGGCTCTGAAATTCCTTGGAAATATATTTGAAATTCATGCTACAAATTCCAGAAACACCATTCTGTGGAATGCATATGAGGCTATGGGGAAGGCTTTCTGTTTCTGCTGGCTCAGAGCTAACTCCGTAACCATCTATGCCCATTTTATCTTTTCAAGATTTTATTTTTTGACAGAGACAGTGAGAGAGGGAACACAAGCAGGGGGAGTGGGAGAAGCAGGCTTCCCGCTGAGCGGGGAGCCCGATGCAGGGCTCGATCCCAGGACCCTGGAATCATGACCTGAGCCGAAGGCAGACGCTCAACGACTGAGCCACCCAGGTGCCCCTCTTTATCTTTTCTTAAACTGAAGGGGTTCATTTAGGGAGGAACCTCTGCTTTCTCCTTAGAGAAAATACAGTTTTCTTTTACCCTTTTTTTTAAAGATTTATTTATTTGAGAGAAAGAGACACGGCACAAGCAGGAGGGGCAGAGGGAGAGGAAGAGATCTCAAGCCGACTCCGCACAGAGCGGCACTCTATCCCAGGACCCTGAGATCATGACCTGAGCTGAAACCAAGAGTCGGATACTTAACCGACTGAGCCACCTAGGCGCCCTGAGTTTTCTTTTTCATTTGATCTCTTTTGGTCTCTAGTTATTCATTTACTGTGTATATTGTTGACCCTTCTCTCCTGACTCATGATTCAGGCTCAGCTGAATCAAGATCCATATTCTCCTGTCCTACACTAACGTAGAATTCCTGTTTCAAATCCTATCAATTGGGCTTATATAATAGACATGGATATTACCATTTGTTGTTTGACATTGGTGTTGGTTGCTCATAAATTTTTAATTATAAAAAGTTAAATGATTAAAGCAGATGAATTCTTTTTTTTTTTTTTTTAAGATTTTATTTATTTGACAGAGAGAGACACAGTGAAAGAGGGAACACAAGCAGGGGGAGTGGGAGAGGGAGAAGCAGGCTTCCCGCCGAGCAGGGAGCCCGATGCGGGGCTTGATCCCAGGACTCTGGGATCGTGACCTGAGCTGAAGGCAGACGCTTAACGACTGAGCCACCCAGGCGCCCCAAGCAGATGAATTCTTTTTTTGAGCAGTTTGAGTGCCATTTTTACTATGTGATCTGCACATCTTTGGGTGTGTGTGATCTTCAGATCTTAAACCACACTTTCTAGTTTTCAGATTCTAACCCTACATATTCAAATAAAGAAAGGTGAAAGAAAGGGGTTTGCATAGGCACTGGTGCCCAGAGATTAATCTGCAGTTAGATATACACAGGGCTCCTTAAGTCACTTGAAGCATGCACACATCTCTGTTTCACCTTTTCTGCCCTCTGCTCACAACCTCAGAACACAAAACTAGTCAAGTAAAGGACAGTGTACTAAATCTGGAAATTATGAAGAGAAAACAAGGTTTGGAGTCATTGGGGACTTCGGAATGGATATAGTTTCCAGCTACTTATAGTCATCAGACTCTGGATTTTTCAGATGGATAAGTACATTGAAAGCAAGTATAATTAAGTAATATTAATATATGCATATTACTTTTATATATAAAACCTTCATTTTGTTACTGTTGAGGACAAAGCTATTATTTTTCAGACAAAATGGTTTTACTTTTCATTGAAAGACATATACAACATTAACCAAAGTCAGAAATATAAAAAGCAGACTTTCATTTGTTTGAAGGGGAGAAGTTCTAGATATTATTCCTTAGGCGACATTAATGATTATAGTTCCTCATCTCTGTCAGTAACCAACCACTAAAGCCTCTCTGGGCTTTGGTTTCCTCATTTGTAGAACATCTGCAAGACAAGGGAGTTGAAATGACTTTTTTTTTTTTGGTATTAAAATCTGAGGACACTCATTGAAACTCTTCAGGGATACTCCTTGTGAAATTCCTCTTCAATTAATTGGAGGTCAGCTTTCCCAATCACCACCAACTTACAGGGTGCCTCTACGTATGTAATTAGCATATACATATACATATTTGTATTTCCTCTGTACAGTTTACTTTCATTCTAGAGAATGCTTATGAAATCTGTGTGGCCCTGTAGCTTAGCTGGGCTGCTAATAAAGTATGTGCCCTTGCTGTTTTCTAGGTTACCAGTGAGAAGCTGTGCAGAGCCCAACATGAGCTTCATTTCCAAGCTGCCACCTATCTCTGCCTCCTACGCAGCATTCGAGAACATGTGGCCCTTCATCAGGAATTTCATGGCAAGGGTGAGCGCTCAGTGGAGGAGTCTGCTGGCTTAGTGGGTCTCAAGTTACCCCAGCAGCCTGGAGGGAAGGGCTGGGAGCCATGAGAATGGAGAGAGTCCTTGGATGCTGCCGTCATACAAGAATTTCATCATCTTTCAATATGCATTGATCATTAAATTTTTATTTAAGTTGAGTGTTTTTCTCTGTAATTTTGTTGACTGAGTGTTTCTTAGGGAGGTTTCATCCTTTCAATGAGTTTACTGAACTTCTTGTATTAGGCTGATTGATGCTCTTGATCTACTTTTAAAACTCTATTACTTTAAAAGTATACAAACTTACTGTTTTAAGTAACTCAAATGATACAGAATATAAAATAAAGGTGTCTTTTTTCTTTTCCTTTGTCCCTCCCCTAGTGCATCCCCATTACCAGGTGGTAACTGTTGCTAACAGTTTGGTGTGTCTTTGCAGCTGTTTCCTATATACAGGCATATAATTATATATATATATATATATATATATATATATATATATATATACACATACACATACATACACACACTCAATATGCACACTTTACTTAAAAATACACATATACAACGTGTTTAAGGTCCTGACAGAAAGGAGTACCAAACAGGGTTACTGAGGAGAGTTAATGAAGGGTTATAGGAAGATGTGGACTGAATTACAGTCAACAAGTTGTAAAGCTCCTAGGGGCTAGCACCATTTGGATGCTATTAACCTCCATAGGCTGACAGAATTGACCCTTAGGCATAGGAATATGGCCACCACTCAACTACAGGCCACAGGGAGGAAGTCTAGGGAGAGGGCGATGGAATGAGCGTGCTGACTTCTGCCTTCTAATCTGTCAAATTGCTCTTCCTCTTGAATTGTCTTATCAGCGTGAAAGGCTCCACCATGCACTTGGCTGACCAAGTAAACTCTGACTTCGTTCTGTATTTGTCTCCTCACTCTCCGTATCTAATCAGCAATTTCTGCTTCTGCAATGGCTCTACTATCCTTTTCTCCCTCTCCGTCCTCCTTGCCTCTCTTCTAGTTCCAGCACTGATAATCTTTTGGCTGAACTATTAAACTAGTCTCCTCAATGGTCTGTCTACTTCTAACATCCTCAAATAGAAATTACTGTTTCTGAGAACCATCAGCAGTTCTTTGTGCCCACTTTATTATAGTCTATGTCAGTTTCTTGTAGGCATGTCTTATGACTTATTTTTCCCTGGACTGCAAGCTCCTGAAGAGTAAGGACCATGTCTCATTCATCTTTGTAGTCTTCAAAGCACCTTCCACAGTGACTTTACATGTAGCATTATTAAGTTTTTTTTTTTAAGATTTTATTTATTTAATTGACAGAGAGAGAGAGAGACAGTGAGAGAGGGAACACAAGTAGGGGGAGTGGGAGAGGGAGAAGCAGGCTTACTGCCGAGCAGGGAGCCCGATGCGGGGCTCAATCCCAGGACGCTGGGATCATGACCTGAGTCGAAGGCAGACGCCCCTCTGGAATAAATCTTTTAAATAAAAAAATAGGGGCGTCTGGGTGGCTCAGTCGGTTAAGCGTCTGACTCTTGGTTTCAGCTCAGGTCACAATCTCATGAATCATGAGATGGAGTCCCACACTGGGCTCTGTGCTCAGCAGGGAGTCTGCTTAAGGATTCTGTCCTTCTGCCCCCACCCAACTCTCCAAATAAATAAATCTTAAAAATAAATAAAAACACTCAACCTCTTACACAAATGCCTTTACAGCTTCTAGCTCTTCACAAATTGAGTTATTTAATGAATTGATGAATTATACTCATTCTCTACATTTTTAAATTTTTTAAAAGTTTTTTTACTTAAGTAATCTCTTCACTCAACATGGGGCTCAAACTCACAACCCCGAGACCAAGAGTCACATGCTTCTCTGACTGAGCCAGCCAGGTGCCCCTCATTTTCTACATTTTCTTTTTTTATTTTTGAAGATTTTATTTATTTATTAGACAGAGACAGCAAGAGAGGGAACACAAGCAGGGGGAGTGGGAGAGGTAGAAGCAGGCTTCCCGTGGAACAGGGAGCCCGACACGGGGCTCGATCCCAGGACCCTGGGATCATGACCTGAGCCGAAGGCAGTCGCTTAACCAACTGAGCCACCCAGGCGCCCCCATTTTCTACATTTTAAAACATGAAATAGGCTGTAGTGAGGTATAATTTATGTATAATAAATATACCCATTTTAAGTGTGCAGGTCAACGAATAACGACAAGTGCATACATCTGTGTAGTAACAAGCCCATTAAAGCTATAGATCATTGCCATCAGTCCCAAAAGTTGCCCTGTGCCCCCTGCAGTCAATCCCCTTCCCCACCCGTGGCCCTAGGCAACCACTGACCTGCTTGCTGTTACAATAAATTAGTTTGGCCTGCTCAGGGATTTCATCCAAATGGAGTCCTATAGTATGCATTCTTGAGTAGGCTTCTTTTGCTCAACATACTGATTTTGAGATTAATAATCCATGTTGTTGCATAATTTTCTGCATTTTTCACTGCCCAATCATCCTCAATCCACTGCAGTCTGGTTTCTGCCCCTCCACTCTACCAGAACTGCTTTGCAAGGTTACAAATGAGGTCACTAAACTCAGTGGATCATTCCTTACCTTGCTTGATCTCCAGGGAGCATTTTTTGTTTTGTTTTGTTTTTTAGTAAACCCTCCCCTCAATGTGGGTCTTGAACTCATGATCCCGACGAGCTCAAGCGTCCAATGCTCTACTTAGTGAGCCAGTCAGGTGCCCTCTAGGAAGCATTTGACACTGCTGACCATTCTTTTCTCTTGGCTTTGATGACATCACATTCTTGTTTTCTTCTCTTGCTCTAGCCATTCGTCTTCGTTTACTCTCCTGCATGTCCCTAATATGTTGACATTCTTCAGGTTCAAATCTAGGTCGTTACCTCACACTTGATACTCTTTCCCTGGGTGAGATCATCTCTACTTCCCAGGCTTCCATTATCATCAAGAGGCTAACTCCAGTCCAAGCCCTCCTGTAGCCCTCTATGTCCAGCTGCTTCAAAGACAACACCGCTTAGATGATTCAAAGGCATCTCAAGTTCAAAGCATCCAAAATGGAACCTCATCATCTTCCCCTGTAAATCTCCTCTGTTACTGACACTTGTACTCAGTAGCTCAAACTAGAAAACAGTCATTCTTGACTGCTTCCTCCTTCATACCCTGTTAAATAATCACTGAATTAATTAGATTCTACCTCCTAAGAATCCCCTGAATCTCTCTAATACTCTAGTCCAGACCTCTTATCTCTTGTATCTCTTCCCTGAACCACTTGCTTGTCCCTTGTAAATGTAGCACATAAAGGCACATATTTGGCTTCAGGGTACTTGCTAATTGTGTAGTTAATAGCTTTGTATTGAAACTGAGCTACACTTTTGGTAGGTTTGTAGGGTTAGGGATGCAAAACGCAAAGTCTAGGGCCCACCAAGGTAGGCACTCTAAGAAATCCACATCCACTTGAATCTAGAACCCTGAAGTTCACCCTCAAGGAAGAGCTGTAAGTAAAAAGTCCTTGCCAAGTTTTCAGCTCAGATTTTTGTCATTTTGGTGGTCAAGAGGAATTGAGGCCTTGAACCTGTATTACGGTGGTCCTTGACTAGTAAGGTCTTCAGTTACCTATCAGAGAAAAATAAAGATCTCTGAAGGAAGATAGCATTATATCCTACTTAGACTTATATTATGCCTATATGTCTCTTTTCAAATACATGGTTCAACATATAAAGATAACCAAACACACAAGAAAACAAGACTCCCTAAGTGAAAACCAGCAGAAACAACAACAGAAACAAACTACAAAAAACTTCAGATAATTGGATTTAGCAAACTCGGATTACAAAACAATTATGTTCACTAGGGTCAAAGAATAGACAGCCTTGGAAATTTTATCAGGGAACCAAAAACTATTAAAAAAATGACACAGTAGACATGAAAAAGAACCCAATAAAAATTCTACAACTGAGGGGCACCTGGGTGGCTCAGTTGGTTAAGCCACTGCCTTCAGCTCAGGTCATGATCCTGGAGTCCCAGGATCGAGTCCCGCATCAGGCTCCCTGCTCGGCGGGGAGTCTGCTTCTCCCTCTGACCCTCCTTCCTCTCATGCTCTCTGTCTCTCATTGTCTCTCTCGCAAATAAATAAAAATAAAATCTTTAAAAAAAAAAATTAAAAAAAAAAATTCTACAACTGAAAAAATAATTCAATTGATGGATTTAACAGCAGACTAAATACAGCTGAAAGGAGACAAATGAACTATAAAATTTGTCAAAAAAATATCAAGAAGGCAGCTTGGCAAGACAACGTAAAAAATGCAGAGAGTAAAGAGATATACAGGATATAGTGAAAACTGTCTAAATAAACATTTATTTGGAGTTTCAGAAGTGGATGAATGAGAAACAATATTTAAGAATAGCTAAACATGGGGCGTCTGGGTGGCTCAGTCAGTTGACTGGCCGACACTTGATTTCAGCTCAGATCATGATCTTGGGGTCCTGGGATCAAGCCCCACATCAGGCTCTTCACTCAGTGAGGAGTCTGCTTGGGATTCTCCTCCTCTCCCTCTGCTCCCCTCCCCACCATGTGCATACATGCTCTCTCTCTCTCAAAATAAATAAATAAATCTTTAAAAGCTGAATGAATCCTAAAAGCAGAAAAAAATAAATCCACACCCAGATACATCATAGTAAAATTGCAGGAAACCCAGAGCAAAAAGAACAAAATTTTAAAGCAGCCAACTATCTGCAAAGGAGTGACAGACTTGGCAGGAGCAATGGAAGGTAAAAGGCAGCAGAAAGATGGAATGAATATGCTGAAAGAAAGTAACTTCAAACCTAGAATTCTATGCCCAATAAAAATACCCACCTAGAATAAAGAAAGGCAAAAGAAAGACTGTCTCAGATCAACAGGAACGGGACAGTTGCCCACTAACAGGCCAACACAAAAGCAAACTCTGAAGCAGATTAGGCAAACTTCTGTAAAAAGCCAGATAGTAAATATTTCAGTCTTGCTGGCCATACAGTATTTGTCACAACCACTCAACAATGCTGTGCTAGTGCAAAAGCAACCAGAGACAATAGTAAATGAATGAGCCTGGCGGTATTCCAACAAAACTATTCAGAAAAACGGGCAGTGGGCTGGATTTGGCCTGTGGACTGTAGATTGCTGACTCCTGTCCTAAAGTTTAAACTTCAGACAAAAGGGAAATGATCCCAGATGGAAAGGCAGAGATTCCAGAAGGAATGAAGGAAAAAAAAAAAGTGGCAAATAAATGAACAGTATATGAAGTTTGATTTAAAAAAAACACAGAACTAAAACATGATAAAAACAGTATATAACTTCAGGAGAGGTTCTAGATTTTCTAGGTTCTTTGTTTTATCTGGGGGAAGTGAAAAGGTATTAAGAATGCCTGTTATAACTTTTAGGGTAACTACTATAAGAATAAAAATAAAACTTCCAAACTACTAGAAGGGGAAAACATGGAATGATTAGAAAGCAGGCAGGAAAGGAGAGAAAATTGAATAGATGACACAAATAGACAAAATAAGAACTTTAAGCCCAAACATGAGTAATTACATGAATATAAATGAATAAATGCTTCAATTAAAGGACAGTAAATATCAGATTATTAAATAAAAACAGCTATATGCTGTTTTTAAGAGACCCATTTAAAATGTAAGCAACCAGAAAAGTAGGAAGGAAAAAACTAAATTCTCTTCATTAACACATTAATTACTCAACATGTTGGTCTACTTCCCTCCTAAGGATATTGTTCTTCAGAAGATCATACTGTATATATGTATATATAATATGCCTCCCTCTAGGACAGAATAATTTGTACACTTTTATTGTAAATTGTTTTCAAGATTTTATGTATTTATTTGAGAGAGAAAGAGACAATGCGAGTAGAGGAGAGGGGCAGAGGGAGAGGGAGAGGGTGAAGCAGCCCCCTGAACAGGGAGCCTCACATAGGGCTCGATCCCAGGACCCTGGGATCATGAACTGAGCCCAAGGTAGACGCTTAACTGACTGAACCACCCATGTAAATTGTTTTCAATGATATTCATAGTATTGAAGTTGTTGGATTTTGAGTTCTTTGAATAATTGGAGGGAACCTATTTTGTCAGCTACAAAAGACAATGTAATTTAAAAAATTTTATTGGCTCAATATGCATTTTAGTTTTTTTTTTTTTTTTCCAGTAATCTCTACACCTAATGTGGGGCTTGAACTCACAACCCCTAGATCAAGAATCACATACTCTACTGACTGAGCTTGCCAGGTGCCCCTTGGCCCAATTTGCATTTAAAGGGATCTCAGGACTATTACTATTATGTTTTTTACTAATCTTGCTAATAGATTTTAAGTTCCAGGGTGATGCACATAAATTTTTAATGAAAACCTTTTACCATTACTTCTTTTCCAAGTATGTAGGAAGTACCTATATCTCATTTTAAGGAATTAATATTTTACAAAAGAAGTCAAAATATCAAGCTCGGCATTTTGTTATTTAGTCCTCACAACTATGCTATAAGGTATGTGTGTTTAGACCCATAAACATGAGATTAAGACATAAATTACTGAAGGTCCCAGTTAGCAATCAGTCGACTAAGATTTTGAACCCAAGGTGATGGCAAGCTATGAACACACAGGCTTTCTTTCCCACTGTCAATGCTGCTGATACACTGAAAAGGCCTTATTCTTCAAACTCATCTTTTAAACAGGAAAAAAGAAACTTTCTACAAGATCACCTTTCCTTTCTGAGAATACTACTTAATTTTTATAGTTCCAAATTTAGACTAACAGCTTCCCGTTAAAAATAATGATAATCATTCCGAATCGGTTAGGTCATCGTTTCTTAGTGTATTAATTTCGGGTGGTATTTCCTGAACTTGATTTATCCTAATTCGTGGGGGGGCGGGGGGGTTAGCCTCTATGCATAAAGGGAAATGACCCAGATGTCAGATCTCCAGGGCTCCTTTTGTAGAAGGTCAAGACAGCAGTGGGGAAAGGCTGAGCGTACAATATTCTGGGTGGGCCCCTGAAAACGAGTTAATCGGCCAATGAATAATCCAATACGCCTGTATTAGCTACTAAGACTGCTAATCTCAGTCGAACCGAGGGGTAAGGTCTCCACTTACTTTCAACTCGGGGTAACCCTCTGGCACATTTGCTAATTTGGGTCTGGTTCGCCAGCACAGCGTGCCGCCCAACCCCAGCCCCCTCGCAGCTGGTAGCATGAGGTTTGGCGCCTCGGGCAGATCCGGCTCGAGGGTCGTTTAATAACCCGAGTCTCGCGAGTCGTTTAATAACCCGAGTCTCGCGAGATCTGGGGGAAGGGGGCGGGAGAAGCTCGCGTGCACGCGCCCGAGAGCCGTTAGGGTGGAACCTCTCCCGGGCGGGGCGGGTGGAGCAAATACAGTTGGACGCCAGTTGGTGGAGCCCCCGCGGGAAACAACTAAGCGCGAGGAGCGTGCGCGCTCACGTCGCGGCGACGGTGGCGGCGAGCGGCGTCAGAGCTAGAAGGGGGGGCTGACGGCTTCTGGCGGGTGGCGGTGTTGGAGGCGAGAGCTTGCTTAGCCCGTAACGCTTCTGTCCCAAGACCCGACGGAGAGCGAGGGAACGAGGGTTGCTTTCGGGGGCTGCTGCCTTCTACTTACGCATCGTCGTGAGGAGCGCAGCCCGGACTCTCCTACAAGCCCTCCGGCTCCCTTTCCACACGCCTTGAGGCGGCGGCGGCGGCGGCAACTGAGACAGCGTCTCACCTTCCCCCACCCCTTCCCCGTCCCCCCCGCCCGAAAGGGCCCGGTCTGCGCCCCACCCCCGCCCGCTCGCTACGCCGCCGCCATGTCGGCGCAGGCCCAGATGCGCGCAATGCTGGACCAGTTGATGGGCACCTCCCGGGACGGTAAGTGTCTGCCAGTGCCCTGGGGGTGGGGGAGGGGAAGGGGAAAGCGAGGGGAAGGGGCTCCGCGGGCGTACCTGGGCTTGCGTGTGTGGCTGAGTAAGGGGCTCCCAGATTGGTAACACGAGGTCCCGGCTCCCGTCCCATCCAATCAGGGCTGGGCAGGCGGGCTTGGGGGGCGGTGACCGAGCGGATTGGCGGGAACTGCTGCCAATGGGGTCAGGCGGGGCCTGGAGGTAGAAAGGAGAGTTTGAGATTCAATGTTGACTTGTCTGGGACGGGAGAGCCCACGTCTCTCTTGGCGTAGTCGGTCATCCCGTTTTGTGGCTGATGAGGTACCGGTGGACCGCTAAAGCCTCCGTCCCCTGAACTAATTCCTTAACCCAGAGCTTTGGGATCATCCCTCGCCGCCGCCCTCCAGAGCATCCAGAGAGAACTGCCCCACCCCCGCCCCCCGCCCCTTACCTGGGTCTGGAGAAAACCTTCACTATGAACCCAGTCCCAGAAGTGCACACTCGATCCCACAGAAACAATCCTTCTTATGGAAAAATCTGACCCAAACCATGGTTTCTTGAAGTGGGTGTGTTTGGCCCCATTTTGTGAAAAGAAAAATGTTATGGCCTGTTTTTTCCGAGAGACCTCCATTTTGTTAGAGAATTTAATAGAAGCTTTGTTCAGTAAATATTGACAAGTCTTGCATGTGCCCCAAATAGAACCATTTTGAAAATGTGGTGCCCAGTGAAGTAGAATTGAGAGAAACAACGATCCTTTAGGCGCTGAGGATAGAGTTTGTGTAGAAAATTACTAATTGCGGATCTTTTTTGTCGTAAAGAGAATTCCTAAATGCAAAGATGAAATGCTGTTGGCTTTTTTGGTGATGATGATAATGTTATTATCAAATTGAGCTCAAATCCATGCTAATATGGAGGAAAGGTCTAGTTCAGTACTTTCTCTCTTAAAAGCAAAAACACTTGCTTATTTTTATATGTTGCTTGTTTAGGCAGATCGTTTCTTAGCCATTAAAGAAATGCTTTTTTCTTGAAAAGTTACTTAAATTGCTTGACGTAAGAGAAAAGGCACACTTATATTTTTAACAGTTGCTCTTGTAATTTTCTTGAATACTTTGCAGCAAAATATGTTAGTAGGTTAAAAAATGTATATTGAATTCAGATATTTTTCTCAGTGCATACAGAGAATGGCTTTTCAGGGCTCACAGTTTAGTTTTAATAAAAACCCGTATTGGGAACTTGTCTTCCTAGGACACATAGACAAATAGGTGGAGGTGGCAAACCTACTTGTGCTTGTGTAGAGAGGAGGGGAAGATTGGGAAGGAAATGAATTTTGTGTAGTAAACCCTTGCAAGTTAACATTAATTAAAAATGCCGCTGCAGAAACTTCTACCTGTTCATTTTTCACTGTTAGATAAGAATGGTTATTTTATAACTGCAGCATGTCTTAACATTGCTCCTTTTCCATGATGAAGACGGTATTGGGAAGGGACCTAATTCAGGATTTTAGCTGACAGAATAACTAATTTTTGTAGTAAAAGTATGGAAATCATTTAAGATTTTACATGAACTTTTTAATCCTAGATGGATACCATTTTTGGTACCTTCTACATGGATTGAATTTTCTGATTTTACTGGGAGGGTAGTTGGATCAAAGTAACTGCTATCTCCTGATATCACCTGATAAATTTCCAAACGAGGTAGCCAATCTAGTATTGTAAACCTACATTAAATATATATATATATATAAATATATATTCCTGTGTGTGTAGTCAGCAGAAACATGGATTTCTTAAAATCCATTCTGCTTTGTATACAAATAAATTTACATTTTTTATGTGTATGTTACCAGATTTTTTTTGCCTCCAGACTAAGAGGATTTACCAATGAACTCATGTTAACGAGTCCACGATATTATTTAGCTGAAATGACTGGATTTTCACTGCTGTGTTGGGCCAGAAGTAAGAAACATACTACTTTCAAGGAAAAGAAAAGATACCCATATTAGTTCTTTTATGTATGCAAGATAAGAATCAGAACATTATTTTCCTTACCAGATAATGAGTTTACATATTTCATCTTATGATTCAGGACCTTTAAATAATTAGGATTGTTCTTTTTTAGCATACAGTCAACTTCAAGTTATCCAGGGGTAGGGGAATATGGATACGTTCCTGAATAACACCATATACTTTAAAACCATATAATGGAAAGCTTTGTATTGGACAAAGGAACAGCTTACAGGGAATGCTGTTGGGTGTCTTTGGCACTAAGAGGTGGAAATGGGGATCCAAGAGGTGGGAGAGAGATGGAAAAGGTAGGTAGGGGAGGGTGTGTTTAAGGCAGCTCCCCCCCCCCTTTTTTTTTAATCATCCAAGACTGACTATAAAACAACTATTGTCCTCTGGGATAGTGGGATTCAAGGTTGCCATAACCCCTCCTCAACCCTTAGTGTCCTGTCTCTGAGGGAATCTGAAGTGGCATAAGAAGCCTAGGGCACTGGGAAAACTTTGTTTCCCTTTCACCTCCCCCTCTCCTCCACCAGTAAAAATATTTATTCCTTCTTCCTCTGTCCCAACTCAGTTTTTAATTAGTTCCTTTTTAAACTCCTTGGAGATGTAAGTCTATTAAAAGTACCTTATTTTGAGTTACTTAATTCAGTCTAATCATATAGATTACCTAAGCTTTATTGAAATTCTCAGAAATGGGAATTTTAGTGTCAAGGAAGTGGAGAGGTAATTTTGGGATCACTGGGCACTCCCAGAAAGGACAGTCTTGGGTGAGTGGTGGAAGTGGGGGGCTTTGGACAACCAGAGGGCAGCATGATGGTGCTGGGAGGCTGGGCAGGGGGATGACCAGGAGGTGGGAGAGGAATGCATCAGGGTGGTGGGAGGGCCAAAGACAAACTTTGCCTTCTTTGCAATTTTGCCTAGGGCCCTGGTGGTGGCAACCGCCTGTGTGCCACTGAAAATCGTGCCGATGCCTGGCATACTGCATAAATGGAAGCAGGGTACCGCGTGAGTTGAAACATTGGTCACACTATATAAAGTTTGTATATGTGAATCAGTGTAACTCATACCCATGTAACTGGGGGTCTGACTGTATTTGGATTTTTCTGATAAGGCATCATGGGCTAAGGAAAAGAGCTCTGGGCTGAGACTCAGGAGACCTGGTTTCTAGCCCCAGCTGTACCTCTAATTGTAACCTTGGGTAAGTCACTTAACCTTTTTTGCCTCAAGTTAAATCAATAATCTGTTAAGTGGGAAACCAAATAATTTCCTATGTTACACTCAAAAACTGTTAAAAAATAAGTATATTTTAAGTTTTTTTTAGGAGAGGAAACCATAAGTAGATATAAATTAGTATGTTATTTTATCTGAAGTTTGAGGTAAATTAAACTTTATAAATACCTTTCTCTTGTAGTTGTTAGCATTAATAGAAGGAAGAGGGATAAATTTTTCCCCGAACATAGTCCATTTGAAAGGGAGGAGCAGTAAAGTAAAATTGAGGCAGCAATTTGAGAATTGTCTATGTGACAGTTGGAGGAACTCAGTGTCCTTGCACAGACTGTAGTTATTTTTTCTGAGTTGGGTTAATTGCAAAGATGTCCCTTAGCTAAAGCTCTTTTGCCAGCAAATAGAATTTGGTTATAAGCCTCTGGTCCTGACCCCTAAAAGGCCTGGCAAGGTGCAAGGGATAGGAATTAAAATGGAGGGTATGAATTTAGATTATATCCTAAGTTTAGAAACCAGGGAATTGACAGAAGTAGTTTTAAGGACTCCATATTTTTTAATTACTTATAACCTTTAAATGGCAGACATCATCTCTGGAAGGTTAAAACAGGCCAGGAATGGCAGTCACCTCCTACACACCCCCTCCCCCTACTTCGTGCCCCAAATGACCAGTGGACTAATAGAATGTAGACTATAGAATAGAATTTTATTGCATCATTAGTTGCCCGTTATGATTAGGGAATGTCTAGGGCAAGTTAAAGCTTTCAGATAATTGTGCCTCTTTTTGAGGGTAATCTTTCTGAACATACAGTGATGTACTTTCTTAGATAATAGAGTACATTTAGTCCTAATTTACTATTTTTGGTGATCAGTTACACTGTGGGGTAGTTTTATAGAATGTAAAATTAAAAAGGGTACTACTCATGCTAGGAGGTAACCAGGAAAATAGAGTTCAGAAAATCATTTACTTGTTCCTGATATAAGGTTAGTAATACATAATTGTTGAACCTGTAGGATAGTGTGACATTGCTGCCTTTCTGCAAAATAAACCATTGAATCAAAGATAGAAGTAGTTTTTTCTTCAGTGGATTTTCTTCATAAAGTCATCTTTAATCTGTGTTCCTTGACTTGTCATCAACATTGAGAGCATTTTTTTAAAAATTTTTCTCATTAGCATAATGAGCCATATTTATTTCTTGGTCAGTTGTAAGCCATTCTATTCCACTTGGATTGTTCATTTTAAGTGAAGGAGGCATAGCCTTTAATGTACAAGCACACATTTTTAAAAATGGTAACGGGTATATCTTACCCCAGAGCTTGTAAATTCTTTTAACATAAGAAATTTTGGTGAAAATAAGGTTAAACGGTAGTTAAACATCAGGCTAAATAAGAGTTGTAGTGAATATTTGACTTCATCAGAGGTTCAGGCATATCAAAACACTGAAAGCTCTGTTAACTTCCATATGGTGAATCTGTTTTAAACAAACTTTAACTCATTTTGCATTTTGAACTCTGAATATTTCAGTCTGCAAAACAGCCCAGAAAACAGTAATAGTATCATTTCATATAATCTTGTTTTGTCCTTGGATTCTCTGCAGTTGTTTAGCTTTCCTCAGGGAAGCCTATGCTTGTGAGATATTCTTTTACTTTCGGTAAAGAAATAAATTGAAACCAAAGAAAAATCATTTTGTCTGTCACTGCATAGGCTCTGTAAGCAGCAAAAAAGTGCTTTGATTTGGATAAGATGTCACATAAGGAAAAA